GAGCCTAGCCTCACTTTGCGTTGTCATGGCAACCGCTGACGTTCACATAGTCATAAATTATGTTAGGTCCCGCCTCCTGCCTCCCTTCTTGAAAATCTCTGGCTAATCAGAGTGCGGGAAGTCCCAGAGGCGGGGCGTCTGAGCAGCACCAACCAATCTAAGTATTTGTTTACATTTGTTACGTCACTCGAGGTCGTTGTTGATTGGTGGAGATGATCCTCTTTTCGGAGCAGTCGGCTTGGATAATGGGTTTCTACTGTACGCTATTGGACGATCGATTGGCTGTGCCTCCACCAGCTATTGGCCAAACTCTAATTCAAGGGCGAATGGGAGTAAAATGAGTGACATTTAATTTCCCCGGGATGGAATTCTGCCAGGTGCCACATGGTCCGCTGGATTTACTACAGCGCCTTTCATCGAGTTTGTACCACAGAAAGAAACATATCTCGCTGCTCGCACGTGTAGACGCCCGTATTTCACTCTCCAGCGAGTCTTATGGTCATTACCGACTCTCCTCAAAAGTTCCATTGAAGATAACTCAATGAGAGCTCGGGAAATGGACGCTCTTTGTGTCGCTTGTGCCGTCGTTCTCTCTCTTTTCTGTTTCGATACTACAGTATCGGCCCCTCCTCTAAATGAGGTGATTTTCGTAGCTATTACATAAGTTTATTGTTAAATATCAATGTCAAGTACTTGCCATTCTGCGTCTTTGGTTCTAAATGCACTCAAAGAAAGTCGTAGCCGGAATAAAGGGTCTTAGTCACCAGAGAAAACGGATACGTTAATAGACCATCAACTTTATCCTCGGAGAGAAGTACATAAGACGGGAAGGAGAAGGGAGAGAGAGGGGAAAATAGGGGGAGTTAAGAACGATATTAAAGAGATGTTATGAGTCTCTCTCTTTCTCTCCCCTCCTTCTCAGTTTCCCTTTGCCTTCCGTTTCCCCTGTGCCGTGCACTGAAGCATGGCTTGAAGCTGTCCACTGATGGGTTGTGATGAGTACAGTGCTGAACGTCCTGTCGGACAATGTGCTCTAGAACCTCGGCACATCTCAGGATAGGGTGATGACTAATGAATCGATAAACGAGATGGTTTAATGCTGCTCGGGGGGAAGGGAATAACGACTTTTTTCTTTTTTTTTTTCTTTTGCGGGTGTAGGTGTTTCGTTCCTGTCGTGCTTGCTGAAGGTGTTTTGTTGTCGCTACTGAGGCTGTTGCTGGCAGTGCTACAGCCATTGCTGTTATTCTGGTTTGCGGTCTTATTGTAGTGTTGCTACAGACGTGTTTTACTGATACAGCTGTTGCTGTCGCCATCGTTGCTGTTGTTGGTAGTTGTCTTCTTCATTTTTTACTCTTTTTCTTCTTTTTTTTTCTTCTTTTCTTGATGTTGCTGCAGCTGCTGTTCTTTCCTCCTGTTTTATAAAAACAAGATCTGACGTTTCTGATGATTCTTCATCCATCATCAGAAAATTACCAATAGCTAATAGGCCTCATACATCTACATGATGAATTATGTCATCATCCAGCATAAGAATCTAATATTACATTACAATAATATTTCAATATTTTCCATAAGTATTAAACTAGATCATACTTGTTAAAAAATAGTTATCAAAATTTATATATATATAAATTAACCAAACTACAATACCTATATAATATTGAATTACAGGAGATTTATACTTGTATTACCTTTGTATAAAAGCAACTCATTTCTCAAGAAGACTAAATAAAGCTAATTTTTCAAAGCCAAATTAATAATTAAATCCAAATAAAAAACTAGCCTATCTGAATGTTTTTAAGGACAACAATGTGTTCCAGTTACCAAAAAATATTGCACAAATCAGAGACTCTTATAAATTACGCATTGGAAAGTATTTATATGATAAAATTAAATTATTTATCAAGAAAAGACGAGCTGATATTTTCTTATTATTAAGCTCTACCTTCAACAATCAAAAGAGAGAAAAAAGAGATACCTGGAGAGGATTTAGGGGGTCAACGCCCCCTCGGTCCAGTCACAGAATTTTACAATCAGAAGAATTTATAAACTATTTTTTCTAACTTTATGCTAAAGTTACATGCTAGTGTTGTTATTAGAAACATTCCAAACCTGTTATTAGAGCTATTCCGTCAAATTTCGTTTTAATTTGTCTTTATTGACTCCTTAACAGCTCTTTTTAATTTAAACTTGAAGGCAACATTTACACGTGTTTATACTCAAATATCGTATATAAAAGCTCTTTCCAATGTTGTGATGAAAACACTCACTCATTCTTGGTTATAATTCTCAGTCTATGCTAGACGTAGGTCAGAAGGTCTATTGCAGCGCTCTGTATGTTCTTGTTCAAACAAGGGACCAGGATATTAATTATCAGCACAGTAGTAATAGCAGCAGTAGCAAGTAATATTAATAGTAGTAACAGTGGTACTAGAAGTAGCAGTTTCTTCTTCTCTTATCATCTCACCTGTATGCTTTTATCTCAAACAGTGCATCAATA